TTCAAATATTTTCCAAATCATTTCTAAAATATATATATATGGTATCAGATTGATCTAATTTCTGTGCACTGAGGACAAGCAAGTCCTAGGTTACAAACTGAACTCTCCAATGCAAGAACAAGATGCATTTCTTCCTTTAGGAGGTGGTATTGTCACGAGAAAAGAAAAAGTTTCAGTTTTGTTTTTGCATGTGGGGGGTATTCTGTAATAATTGTTTGGATACACTATATTTTTAATATGCTAGTTGTGATAATTTCATGCCAAGTAAAAATGCCCATAGTCATATTTTATGTTCCTAAAGTAACAGAATGACTTTCAATCTGGGAAAGACAAAAGAAATGCTATTTTTTTTTCCGATTTTTCCGAAAATTTCCATTTCCCCCTGAAAAAAACTGGGGAAAAACTGGGGGGTTTTCTGAGCTTCAAAATTTCCGGAAATTTTACATCTCTAGGTGCTACCCTCTTTCTTTACTTCTTTACAAGCACTGTTTTTTTAAAAAAAAATGACACAGAGATATATTGTGCTTCTCTTTCTCCTTCACACCCTCTAGGAAATGTGACTGGAAACGGTAACTCTACATTCATTTCAAGCGGACAAGTCATGAATTTTAAAGGCGACATCATCGTCGTCTACGTTAGTCAGAACTCCCAGGAGGGCTCCGCGTCTCCCGGGGCGACGGAGGGCAACCTGGGCAGTCCGGTACAGGAGGAAAATAACCGCTGTGAGACGTTTGCGGGCAACGTTCACCAGTATAAGGAGAAATGTGCAGAGATGGACTCCTATCACAGCACGGAAAGCGAAGGAGGAGCCGGCGGTGTGGGCGACTACAAGAGAACTTCGGGGCCGGTAGTCCAGGAAGAGACTCAAGACTGTCCAAACAGAAAACACCTTGGGAACGAAGCCTCCCAACCTGTACAAGAGGAGGGGAGACCAGAACAGTTTCTAGAGAAGGTATGGCACTGATGGGAATGCTTGCTTGCCCGGGAGACATGAGTCGGATTGCACTAAATAACCCCGCAGTCATGTTGCTCTTAAGAAATCAGGCGGTGGCATGTGAAACCGCCTCGTACTGATTCAGACTACTGGAGCGTCAAACTCAGTATCATCAGCTGCTCTCTCCAGGATCTCAGAGAAAAACTCTTCCCGCAGTGCCTACAGCCAGAGATCCTTTAACTGGAAATGCCAGGATTTGAACCTGGAACCCTCTGCAGACCTTGGGCTTTGTCCCTCTTACAGATCGCGGGGACTGACCAGCCAGGACTGAGACCTTTGCTCGTCTTGGAGATTCTCCGAAGCCCTGTGTGAAAGGACAGGGTATTATTGGATGCCAGATGGTGCGTCTCCTCACAACTATCAGGGAACAAATTGAAATACTGGGGAACTCTGGCACGATATGTTGCTAGCATTGCATATGTACCAAAATCAGAGTGCGAAGCTGCCAAAGACTCCAGTCAACAAGCTTGCCTTTTGTTATAATGGTGGATTTGGGGCTACGTACACACATAACATGGAACCAGTGTTCCCTCTAAGCTGAGTTAGTGTGAGCTAGCTCACATTTTTTTAGCCTCCAGCTCACAGAGTTTGGTCTCCGCTCAGGAAGGAGGGCTCCAGAGCAAACTGATTTATGCAGCAGCCAAATCGCTTGCTCACAACTTTAATGCCAGCAGCTCGCAAAGCAGAAATTTTGCACACAGGACTCCACGGCTTAGAGGGAACATTGCATGGAACCACAGTTTTTGCAGAGCCAGCTGTTTAATGGGGCAACCTGAATTAGTTACCTAAGTCAGCAAATTTTCTCCCACCTGCCAGCTCCCTGCCCCAAGGGATGGGGGAGAGAGAAGAGATTGAAGAGAAGAGATTGGATTTATACCCCACCCTTCACTACCCAAAGGAGTCTCAGAGCGGCTTACAGACTCCTTTCCCTTCCCCTCCCCACAACAGACACCCTGTGAGGAAGGTGGGGCTGAGAGAGCTCTTTCGAGGACTTCTGGTGGGAGAACAGCTCTGAGAAAACTTGTGACTGGCCCAAGGTCACGCCAGCAGCTGCCTGCGGAGGAGCGGGGAATCAAACCCGGTTCTCCCAGATCAGAGTCCACGCTCCTAACCACTAAACCAAACTGGCTCTCCTCCTTACCTTCCTCACTCCACCGGGCAGGCCCGTAGCCAGGAATCTTTTGTTAGGGGGGGAAATTTTTGTGTTCAGAGGGCAGTTAAGCACAGTGGAGAGCGGCCCATTATGTCTCTGTTCAGAACTGCCATGCTTATACTTCTAAATAATAAAGACAAGTGGAATATCACACAAAAATGTTTCAGGTTTATTACAAAGATATTGACACGTAGAACATATTGGCGACTCTGACAAGTAACAGACAACACACATTTCCAAACTGTTCAGCTCTGAAGTTTTAACAAGGCGTGGTATAAGAGGTACTATGCAGGGTTAAATTGGGTTAGACCGCATAAAAGAGATGTCGTACTGCACTGAGAGAGCTATTGGGACAGAAAACCTAGTAACAGCTGTTCTTCCAGTCAGCAAGTGTGTAACTGTAGTGCTGGACCGAAGAGACCCGGGTTCAAGTTCCGACTGGCATTCTCAGCCTCACTCCCTTCACCGGATGGTGGTTGTAATCTAGTAGCCCTTTGTAATCTAGTAGCCCTTTGCGCAACTTGAAATCTGTTCAGCATCAGACACTTGAACCAAGTCTGCATCATCACACCTCCTCCATTCCACCTGTTTCATTTTACAAATCCCAGCGATTCAAGCAGAATATAAATAAATTAAAATACATTTCCCATAGAAACATCTCAGTGAGACCAGCTGACCATAAGTGAACCAGCTCTACATAATTCAGTGAGACAAATGAACCACAAATGCCCAATAATGATGAAAACCAAGTGTGTGTGTGCGCGTGTGTAAGCACAGCAGTCCATCCCGCGGAGGAAGCTCCCCCATCCCCGTACTTAGCGGCACCCTATCCGTGGAGCTCCAAGCCAGACTCCCACCCATCATCTCCAGGCAGCTGACTTGCAAGGAAATGACCAGAGGCATCCATAGACAGCAATGGGTGTTGGAAATATACAAAGCCAACATTAGCAAGGACTAAAGTAAAGGTAAAGATTCCCTTGCTCGAAAGCCAGTCGAATCCGACTCTAGGGTTGCGGTGAACCGGAAAATCCACACCCTAAAACAGGGAAAGCATTCTGTCGCTGTGTACTCTGCTGAGTTCAAACTCCTGGCCCAGGACCTGACCTGGAACGAGGCAGTACTTGGAAGGGCTGGCAGACGACGTCCTGGATGAGCTCACTCAGGTTGACTGCCCACATACGCTGCAAGACTTAATTACCTTGTGTCTCTGTATCGATGGCCACCTGGAAAGCTGGCGGCAGGCCCGGAACAACATCCATGTCATGCAAATGTCACGCCGTCTGGAATCCTGGCCAGTCCCGACAACCCCAGGTACGGGCGGAGATGAGAGTGAGCCAAGGCAGATGGGAGCAGCCCGGCCACACCTGACACCAGAAGAAAAGGCCCACCGCCAAGCAAAAAATCTGTGTTTGTACTGTGCAGGGGCAGGGCATTTCTCCACCAACTGCCCTGCTAAACGTCCTCAGTCCGAGACGACCACGACGCCACCACCAGTAAAAGACCAGCCCCATGCCTAGCTGGACCTGCTGGCCTGGGGCATTTAGCCGGGTCCTCTGAACTCAAGACTATCAACCAAGGACCATTCTTGGTACCCATTAAACTCCGGTTGCCTGATGAATGCTGGCTGTTTATCTACGCCATGTTGGATTCTGGGGCTACCCACTGCTTCATTGATGCCGCCTTTGTCAAGCAGCACCAGATTCCCGTGCAGCCCAAAGAAACGCCAACCCTGGTGGAGGCCATTGACGGGTGCCTTCTCCGCTTGGGTCTTGTGACCCAGGAGACCTGTCTCCTCACCCTCTATATCCAACAACACCAGGAGCAACTATGATTCGACGTAGCTGGAATGCCACAATTCCTGTTAATCTTGGGATTATCATGGCTAAAGACCCACAACCCCATGGTGGACTGGGCTCGACAAGAACTGCAGTTCCAGAACCCTTGCCCGCACCACACCTCTGTCGCTACCCTGGCCGCTGCTGCCCCAGCCAATGACCCTCGACTCCCACAGCAGTACAGAGACTTTATTGATGTTTTCAAGGAGAAGGGAGCTGATTGACCCCCTCCTCATTGGGCCTATGATTGCGCTATTGATTTAGTACCCAAGGCACCCCTACCGGTGGGGCGTCTGTACCCCATGGTGGAACCTGAACTGGCAGCTCTGCAAGACTTTTTGGAGAAGAACCTGGCAAGAGGATTCATTTGACCCTCCACCTCTGTTATCAGCTCCAGTCCTCTTCATCAAGAAGAAAAGCGGTAAGAAAAAACAAACAAACAAACAAAAGTTCACGGCGAAATGCAAAAAATACTGAAATTTTCCTTTAAAAGAGCACCTGAGATTCTGCTTTTAGGACTTAAAATGGAAGAACTAAATGTGAAGAAAAAGACTCTATTCTGGTACTTAATAACAACAGCGAGAATGGTTTATGCACAATGTTGGAAACAAGAGAAAATACCAGAAATAGAGGATTGGATACAAAAAGTTCTGTTCATGGCGGAAATGGATAAAATAACAAAAAAATTAAACAACAAAGAAGACCAAGAATTTTTTGAAGAATGGGACGACTTCAAGATTTATTTAGAAAAAAACTGGGATGTAAAACGAAATTTACTTTGTTTAGATCAATATTAAGAATAAAATTGTTATCTTGGAATGTATAAGACATTTGGAACACAGGGGGAACGCATTGCGGGAAGCCACTGGAGAGGAGGAAGGGGGAAGGGAAGCGGATTATAAGAAAATTGTTTTGAATATGTGAAATGTATTAAGAAAAAATAAAAGTTTCTTGACCAAAAAAAAAAAAAGAGTTTCGTTCTGTTGTTAATTTCAGTGGCACAGTCGAGTCCGACTCTTCGCAACCCCATGGACCACATCATGGCAGGCCCTCCTGTCCTCCCTCGTCCTCTGGAGTTTGCTCAACTCCATGTTCGTTGCATCGATAACACTGTCTTAACCATCTCATCCTTTGTTGTCCCCTTCTTCTTTGACCTTCAGTCTTTCCCAGCATCAGGGTCTTCTCCAGGGAGTGCTCCCTTCTCATTGGGTGGCCAAAGTATTGGAGCTTCAGTATCTGGCCTTCCAGGGAACAGTTAGGGTTGATTTCTTTTAGGATTGACTGATTTGCTCTCCTTGCAGTCTAAGGGTACCTACCCAGCTGCAAATAATTGATCTTGCAGAATGAGTCAGAATTCCCTACTCAGACTGGCAGTGGCTCTTCAGGGTCTCACTTTACCAGCTACTAAACAAAAAACCCCTTAAAGACAAGCAGAGTTATATTGGATACAGGAGAACACATGAAGCTGCTTTATACTGAATCAGACCATTGGTCCATATTGTGTACTCAAGACTAGGAGCAGCTCTCCGGGGTCTCAGGCAGAGGTCTTTCCCAACTCCTACTGCCTGGTCTCTTTAACTGGAAATGCCAGTGATTGAACCTGGGACCTTCCGCATGCCAAGCAGATGCTCTGCCCCTGAGCCAGGTCCATGGAGGGGACCTTATAAGAGCCCAAAGTAATTAATTCTTCAGGGCAGGCAGCAGTAGAGGTTGGCAATATAACCATGGAAAATCCCTTCACTCCCTTACCTGTAGCAAATGCAGACACAGTGCCCAAAAAACCCATCCCTGCAGCCAACTCCAGTTCACAAAACTGCCCAAGTCCGAATTACAACCGAGAAAGCCCTAGCCCTGGTACTAACCTGTGAGGGAGGTGGGGCTGAAAGAGCTCTTTTGAGGACTGCCCTTGAGAGAAAAGCTCTGAAAGAACGTGTGACTGAACCATGGTCCCACCAGCAGCTGCATGTGGAAGCATGGAGAATCAAACCCAGTTCTCCCGGATTAAACAGATCACCGTGAGTTCTAACAAAGACTCAGTTTTCATTCTTGCCCTTTCTCCCATAATTCAGGTGGGCAGTCAAAATCCCACAAAGGTATATTGGTTCCTTTAAATGATAACTCATTGCCACCTTTGTTTTATTTTTAATATTAAAATCAGTTTTAAAAGAATTGCAAAACCTTTTGTGGTATGGGGATCAGCAGGTGTGTGACCTCCCAGGTGCCAGTCAGTCAGTACTGTACCCAGCTGGCTTCTGTGCAAATACACAGCAGTAGTGTTCCTTCAGTTTGACCTAGAGAGATGATCTTTTGGTTCTTCAACAGACAATAACCAGTATAGTCTTAGATCGAAGCAGGTCTACAGTTTGAATAATGTCGTTGGCACGCAGCCTGTATAAACTAACCGGTAAAGCAGGAAGTGTAAGCTTAGCGCACGGTGTGAAACACCAGAAATCAAATCCTCGGTTTGAGAGGTTAAAGTTGCCTGTGTGACTGAGACCCAGCATCTTTCATCAAGTCATTCAGAGCCAAAATACACAATATGAAATCCACAT